GAATGAATCTGGCCTAGAAAGAGATTAAATCCTTCTTCACAAAACTTTTAAGTTGGTCAACATGAGTCCATCAAATACATCTTTTTCTACTCATCCCTGCCACAATAGAATGACCACTGTTCCATTCAAAGGTGCAGTGTCATGGGCTGACTGTTGTTCCTCCCATATCAATCAGATTCATATACATCCTGTGCAATTTTTGGAGTGCTTTCATGTGCTGGTAGGTTACAATGGATTCTTTCCAGTTACTTCTCTTGAAATTAATCATTATTCAGGCATCCTGGCCCAGGGAGGCTTGCTGCATGTACTGGTAAAATAATGCAATCTAGCTATAGCCTTAAAAACCTGTGGGAACTGCCAGTCATTGGGGATGCACTTGTATGTAGGCACCCTGTGTTTTCCTTAATGGGTTCACTAATATTACCAAGTACATTGATGGTACTTTTTTTTTTTTTTGAGACAGGGTCTCACTATGTAGTTGAGACTGACCTGGAACTCACTATGTAGCCCAGGCTGGTCTCTAACTCACAGTGATCCTCCTGCCTCACCCTCCTAAGTTCTGGGATTACAGGTATGTGGCACCATGCCTGGCCCCATTGGTGGTACTTTTAATGTTACCTGTACCAACTGCAGCCTTACCAAGTGTGCTACTTGGTTGTATCGTCCCTCTTTTGTCATGATTCCCACTAATCTTTCTGGACCATGGTATAATGACAGAGGGTTCCAAGTACTAAAAGAGATAGAAAATCAATAAATCAATTGAAAGGTCCCTGATGGATGGTTGGACTCATCATCCTGGGTATTGTATCTCTGGTCACTCTTCTTACCTCCACTGTGGATGCCTCTGTGGCTTTGGCCGAAGCCATCCAGACAACTCATTTTGTCAACCAACTGGCAAAACATACCTCCTATGCCTTAGAAACTCAGGAGGACATTGACTCCAAGATTCAGATACAACTTGAAGCACTGGAGGCAGCAGATCTCGAGATAGGAACACAAGCAAAATCCCTTCAGTTCCATCAAGGGCCTCACTGCCATGCTGAATTTAAACACATTTGTGTTACAGCTCTAAAATATAGTGTGACAACATGGCCCCGGGAGAAGGCTGTTGCTCATCTCATGGGTATTTTCCACCATGCCAACTTCAGTCTGGATTTACAATATTTTACACAAACAAATTCTAGACATACAACATGCAGAGGTCCAGAGTCTTACCCCAGATCAAGCTGCTCGGACAGGGCTGGACCTCCTCAATGGGTTCAATCCTTTCAATAATAGCAGGCGCACTAAAGTTGGGGTGCTTGAACTCTTAATTGCCTCGATTATACCTATTGTCTTGTTTCTAGTCTGCTGAGAATATTCCAGCAATAACTTCTCCACCTCACACTGGGAAAACATTGGAGTCACCTCAAGTTACAAATAAGAAAAGGGGGAGATGCCATGGGCCAAGCCTGAGGATGGTCCTTTCTTTCCTTCTGCTCCGTAGGTTAGAGAGTGTCTGCTTGACTCATACTGTAGACCCTGGATGGCACAGCCCCAGGAGACATTCTGCATCCTTCCCTGTACTCTTCCTGTGAGTGTCTCACCAGGAAACAGTCACACTATGTCTGCTTAGGCCTCTTAGGTCACATAGCACTATTTGCTCCACCTTCTCTTCCTGCCTTCCACTATAAAGAGTTCGTGGTGCTCCCAACAAGCTATGATTCCACCTGGTCTCAAATTTCAAGAATAATCTTGGTCTCTTAGTCATTTTTTCTTCATCTCCCACCACTCTCCCCAGCTTTGGAATCTATGCTGTGCAGGTCACAGCAACATGGATTAGTTCTGGGGGAGTTGGAAGTTTTTCAAGGCATTTTGTTGTCTTCTCATATTTTTTTTTGTGTTAGTCTTTTTGAGGCTTGTGGGTTGATTGTAGTATAAAACTTTGTTTCTAGTATGGAGACCTCTTAAGTGAACACATACTGTTCATTGTGTCTGCTGCGTGTGGCCAAATATTTGCCATTTTCTCTGTCCCTGTATTCAGCTACCTCCTTTCACTTAGCTAGGAGGTTGTAGCTTATTTGGCCCAACACAGAGTTTTCCAGAAGTAGTCAACAGTATTGCTGATGATCCTAAAGTAATCCAGATATTGATATCCCAAGAAAAACAATTACAAGCAAAAGCTATGTTAGCTTGCTTGTAGTTATAAAATCAGCATAAATTATAATGTCAAAACCCTAAGAACAAATAAACTGCTACCCTTAACCACAGAGGAGAGATCTATAATTATAGTATGAACCTTAGGACAAACAAAATACTTATTTATTATTCACCTACTGCAAATATCTATTAAATGAAATAAGTTTACCACTTTTAACAATAGAACACCATGAAAAAGCAATAGCATAAAGTTAACTAGCTACCTACAGATTCATAAAGCTTAGAAGTTACACTAAAAAGACAGAGCAGATGGGGAACCACTGAATGTAGAAAACAAAATTCAATGGATAGGAAAAGGAGGAGAGAAAAATTGTACAGGGGCTTCTATTGAGGAGTAAAAAATTAATAGTTATCAGGAACAATTGCTAGAAAAAAATTGAAAAGAAAGAAGAAACATTAACAGACATAACATAAAGGTAAGAAAGAAAAATCTGTAGCAAAAAGAATAAAGGATATAAAAGAAATTATTAAAGAAAAAGGCAAGGACATAAAAAGTCAAACTCCATCCTTCAAAAAAATGAAACAGATAAAAATAATAGTAGGGGCCGGGGATTTAGCTCAGTGGTTCAGTGGCCTGCCTTGCAAGCGCAAGGACCCAAGTTCAATCCCCAGTACCAAAAATAAAAAAATAAAAATAAAAATAATACAATATAACAAAATCAAAAATATTGGGTCAAAGAAAAATTACTGAATGAGTAGTTTCTTTTCAAGATCTGCAGTCTTGGGATCCATTCAGTCATGACTTTCTCTGCCAGACTTAGTACCTATGGGTTTTGGAGGTGCACTTACAGCACCACAGGTTCCTCCATTTCCCCAGATCGCTGTCACTGTCCAAGCCAAGGCAGGTCTTTACTTCTGCTGGTAGATGAGGAACTCACCTGGATTTAGTCTTCAGAACAGTGGTTGGAGGGGGCTATTGGACTTAATGCCAGCAGTCATGGTGTCTGGTTTCTCCCATCTCTCTTCTTCATTGTCCTTTTGCAGGATTGGAACCACTGGTTGCTTCTCATCTCCTATGACCCCTGCCACGGGGAAGCAAAATGTGGGGCCAGCTTACACCTGCTGGGTGATCACACCCTTGCATTAGGGGCTGCTGCACATCAGTCCAGGGTCTCCTTGTTCTTGTGGAGAGGGCTGCCATTTGTTTCACATGGTCCTTTATTTTTATGATTTTCTGAGATAAAAGTAGAGGAGCTCACATTTTTCACTTCTCTCCAAAGGTATTGGCCTCATCTATGCTTGGTCAATGGAGAAAGTAGTGACTGGGCAATGGGAATGAGGCATTTCCTTGGGCTGGTCCCGCTTCACTTCTTGACCTGGAGGGATGATGGTTGGATGTGTGTCTGTATTTACAGCAGGTTATCAAACTGTGTTTTATGTTACACCACCCTAAAGAACAAGAAGTCTAAAATCACTTTTGTATTAGTGACAAATACTTCTCTGTTGCTGATGAAATTTCAAATTGAGAATGATATGGAAATAAAGTGGTGGACAAGTAGCAGGGGGATTTGTACAGGGATAGATACACCAGCAAGCCACAAGTCCAGAATTTCCAGAATGGCAAAGATCTTGGGGATGACTGAGTCCAGCAGTGGGTAGCTCTTCCTGGAGGTGGCTCTTCAGATACTGCAATAAGATGGAGCATGATCCAGGCATATGAGTTAGCACAGTTCATCAGAAGGCACTGATACACAGAGTGTAAACTACTGAATTATCTCAGAGGGAAGGGAAGAGAGCCAAAATGTCCCACAAGAATCACAGATCTCCTTGAACAAACCTGAGATACTACGGTTCTCTATAGAGGACTTTCAGTTAGTTCCACCAAATTTTATAATGTTATCAAGCACATTTTCTATTATCAAGAATTTTTTTAATCCTAGAAGCAACACTTGTTTTCCAACATATGCTACATTTCATTCTTCTAATACAGTATTAATGCTTCTGTTATTTATAAAAGAAAAATAGATCATAGGTTCAGACTATTAAAACTACAGGGTTACTAGACAATACAGTATTAATGCTTTTGTCATTTATAAAAGAAAAATAGATCATAGGTTCAGACTATTAAAACTACAGGGTTACTAGACTGCCTATTCGTTTGAAAACAAATACCAAAGATGTGAATAGTTGTTCAAGGCTTTCTAGGGTTCCATTTTCCTTTTTCAGCTCAATACATTAAACTATTTCCCTATGATTATTTTCTAATAACGTGATTTAAGAAACATGTTTAGAGTATAATAGCTAAAACTTGGAACTGGCCCAATTTCCCATCAGTTGGAGGCTGGATAAAGAAGATGTGGTTTTAAAGGTAGTAAGGGAAAAGGAAAAAAAAA